GAGAGAGAGAGAGAGAGAGAGAGAGAGAGAGAGAGAGAGAGAGAGAGAAGGGGAGGAGGAAGAAAAAGAGAAAAAAGGAAAGAAAGATGCATCGGAATTCACCGTGATTCGCATTAACGTTACGTTACGACCGTCAAGTCGATATTTCGGTTGTGCAACAGGTTCGTCGAGCATATTAATTAGCTGCGAGATGATGAAATTATAGGTTTCCCGAAATTTTTCAGAACATTCAGGAAGTTCTGTGTTCCGACAGACATTTAACGGATCTGACAGACTTTTGATAAGCGCGATAACAGAATCGGTGCGATGTTAATTAAGTGTAGCATTAAAGCATGTATGAGCGATGGAACATTATTATTACACAATAATAATAATGTCGATAATGAGAATGCATAATTATCTTGTAATATCATTTTATTACGTTATTTCGTGAAAGTCGGCACTTTAAAATATACGTATAGTAATCTTTTAAATGCCAATTGTTGTAACAAAACTCTACAATCTTATTTTTTGCAGCAATCCCTGGTTTAAATGTTAAAGTAATTATTCGATATATAAAGATCATTGATAATGTTAATATCAATACAAAGTATTGTAGGCAAATATTATTGATAAATGGAAAAAAAAACAACAGCATAAAATAAAATGCATTCACAGTTACATCATCGCGCGTGTTAACTAATCACGTCGCGAACAATACGCTACAATTCCTGTGTAAATAATAGCAGTCTACAGTTTTTGTGCAAGGAGGAAATCGTCGTTACTCCTTGTAAAAAATGGATATAAGCAAAGCGGGATGTAATATATATATATATAAAAAACAAGAAACAATATTCCAAAAAATAATCAAACCAACGGGCTTATTCAAACATCGCTGTGTATAATTTACATTATCACAGCACAATTTACATTAATCCGTATTTCAATAAAGTAACGTGAATTATCACGGTTGAGAGTTATCCCCCCCCCCTTCCCTCTCGCTTTTCTGAACTGCGTCCTGAAAGCGAAGCGGTACAAATATAAATGAACAGTGTATCCGACTTCTAAAGCAACAATCGATCACATCACTCCGAGCAACTGTAATATTTACCGAATCCAAGGTCTCTTCGAGGGAAGGGTCTTTCTCGTTCGGCGCTTCTCGATCTCCTCGTGCTCCGCGTCGACGCGTCCGGGCCTCCTCGAGAGGTGCCCCGTCTATCGGCAGAAGGGAAGGCACGAAGGTCGTCGATGCTAATTCGTTTGGCGCGGCGGAATACACGGAACACTTCCGCGGAGCGAGCCTTTCCTTCCCCGTCCCTTGCCCGCAAAGACGACGGACCTCTTCTCTCCTCGTTCGCCATTTCCCCTGTCAACCCCTTCCCTCGCGCCCGGTTCATCCACCCGTTTCTCTCCAGCCCCTTGCTCGCGGAACTCCGTCCGTCTCTTTCCTCTTCCTCGAAATGAAGAATGGGGTAGCCTCGCCTCTCCGAAATTCTTCCGGTTGTATACTCTTGGCTCGTGCTAC